TTCCTTTTTGCTTAAATAATAAGTTCTGCAAAAAGCCTTTGTGGGCCATTAACATGCACACAAACCTATGTAACACACTACAGGAAAGAAAAAAACCCTCAAAAAGCATTTTAGGGCCCCTTAGGGCTACCCTGACTAAGAACATGGTCCCTCACCTCAAGCCTGAACTTGCGGTGAACCTGCTGAAACCATCCGTCCCGAACCCTTAAGGGAAATAAAACAAAGAAACCCTTAAGGAAAAAACGCGGAAAGGGCGAGAAGGGAGGAAGCCGTTTAAGCCGCGCTGGAAATGAACTTACTGGCACGTCTGGATTCCCCTCAGCCAGGAATGCGATTTTCACACAGATGGTAGCAACACTACCCATGGCCTGCATTCAAAGAGTGAAGGCTAAGCTATTTATAAGGTCAGTGGAGCTAGTTGTGCTCCACTGACCTTATCGGATCCTTTTTAGCCTTTGAAATGTCAGTACTATTACTGCCAGATATGGATTTATAGTTGTTAAAAATACATCATAGTTATGTTTCTTCCAGAATAAACTATTTGGGTTAGTTTTGCCTCCAGTGAACATATGAAAGGTTATGCATACCTGTCTTCATTCCTGTGTCTTCCACCCACAGGCGGACTGTTTGAATATGTGTCTGGAGCCAACTTCTTAGGAGAGATAACAGAGTGGGCCGGCTTCGCTCTGGCTGGATACTCTGTCCATAGTACAGCTTTCGCCATCTCCACCGCAGTGGTCCTCTCCAGCAGGGCTGTGTCACACCACAAGTAAGTATAATAACACACACATACAGAGAAAGATGGATTTCATGCAGTGTAAGGCACACGTTGAAGCAAATACCTGAAGTAATAGTAGAACATTGCTCTTTCACTCTCTACAGATGGTACCACGCTAAGTTCGAAGACTACCCGAAAAGTAGGAAGGCACTGATTCCCTTTCTGTTCTAAAAACACTGTGGGTACTGGAAGCCTGGAAAGCCTGAAAAGGGACATTCCCAACATTTTACAAAACTTAGATAAGCTCTAAAATAAGCTACATTTGAAGACCCAGTTCTGAAAACTGAAAAAAAACACAGACTGCAAGCTTGTAAATGACCTCATGTGTGTTGCAAGCAAGCAAACGGTTTACAAAAACATCATACCGTTGCTTCTTACTTTGGTAATAACGCCCATAAAGCAAAGTAACCTTAGCAACACTGAACTGTATGTAATTGAAATGCTCTGTTTGCCAAAGAGGCAACATTTACCATTCCTCAGGAGGAAATAGGACGGCGAATGGAGCGTACCTCAACAGTAATACAGTGGATTTATCACTCTCTGCACCAGCAATAAACTCTTTAAAGACTCTCCGCTGATCTGCATATTCTCCCAGATGGAATACAAACTCGGAAATGCAAAGCAGACACTTAAAAGTTTCCATCCATTCTCAAGAGTCATCTGTTGCCAGTGCATCTTTTTTAACATCCGTTGACTGAATGAAGAAGAAGGAGATTTAATGAAGTCCGAACACATGTTTCTGCCTCATTTTGCTCCGGGTGTCATTGCTACAAATTCCTGCAGTGCATCTCCGTTCTTTAAAGACTGATACTGTAGCAGGCCTGTCCACTGCTACTCTGCTGCAGGGAAATCGAATAGAGGTCAAGCATGTCCCTCAATAACTCACCCAGGCCTGAAATAAGAAGAGAGCGCCGCCTCAACACATCACTCCTGTTTGGGTGTTCTGAGAAAGAGAGAACAAATGATTGAGTGTGTGAAAGCAGAAGTACATTGAGCATAAACTGAATGAAGGAGAGGAGGGAGCTTCGGAGAAAAGATAAGACATAAAAAACACTTCATCTATAACATCTTTCCTATTCTATTATTGTTTAAAAATAACGTTTACCATAATCTCATTACCCTGAGTAAGGGCTTTCCTGAAATCATGTCTTGTTTTTTAGATACCAAGAATGTGATCTGCCTAATGTTTGGTGTTTTTTTAAAATAGGTTTAGTATTAAGTGCAATTATCTCATCACAAGTCAAATCCATCTACAAGTGAAAATGACATTGTTTCCATTGAAGCCTGTCTTTTCACAAAAAGTGCAAAAAATCTCCCATCACTTTTCATAAGTTCTCCCTTTTCCCAGTTGAGGAAATGTTACATCAAGCCAAGGTCATGTCACATTTAATTAATATGTTGTTTTTGAACATTTCTATTATGTCATCATTTTTAAACATGGCCTCATCAATAAATAAAAGACCTCTGTGTATGATGAAAAATGAAGGCTGTGTGTCGCTGAAGGCTATGCAGACTGACATCCTTCATGTTCCCCCTCTGTCTCTCTCTTTCTCTTCCAGGCTATTTCCTCTGTGTATCCTCTTTGTCCACGCTCCTTGTAATTGCATCACTATATTACCCAGCCAGTGTATTTACGTAGCCCGCCGTACGAATATAATACCCTTCATCTTCAGGCAGCAGGCACCAATGGATTTTCTTTTTATATGCAAAGTAATTTGCTGGACTGGCTTTCAAGAATCATACATAAACAGTACATATGACAACCTGTGCAACATAAAAGAAAAACAACAGCAGCAGTAGAGATGCAACATCTCATAATACACACACATATAGGAATAGCTGCTTGAATAAAAACACTTCCTCCACAGGGAAACAAACAGTGGTGTCTGTTCCTTTTTCTATGACTGATGTGGGAGGGTTTGGGAATTCAAGTTGTGACTACATTTGCAAATGTTAGCTTTCTATGATCATTAGGTTTCTGTATAACCTTGAACTTTTGTAGTCGGTGTTTTTTAAGGAAGTACACTATAACCCATGTGACCGGAAAAACTGTTCTGGCCATTAACAAAATGTATATATTCTTGTTGTGTGGGAGAGAAACTCCCTCTGGATGAAAATCTACAATTTTAGCCTTTGGAGACCATTTACATGCACAAAAACATACAGTATACCACAACACAGGAAAGGGAAGCCCTAAAAAAATAAAATAATAGGCCCCCTTTAACATTTTAGAATGTGTGTTATTTTTGCCTACATCAGCACGCATAGGCTACTTTTTCCGGTCTAAACCTCTGTTTTGTCTGTACGTGGTTGCACGTTGACTGGTAGTGCAGATCGGGATTTGTGCTCTGCAAATATTTGCTGGGCCAATTATAATGCTTTCCTTGTTATGCTGTATAAAAAGCCACAATGCGACTGACCCACCACAGGCGATATGTTCATGTGTATAAATGTGATATAGTTGTTGATTCAACAGTGTAAATGCAGCTTCCCTAATGTGGGTTAAATATCTGGAACGTTCGGCGGCCTCATTATTATTCAAGCCACATGCAGTCTCTGACTACTGCCTGCTCTCTTAATATTATCTGCTATTACTGTTATGCCTGAGAGCATACAGTTCTCCAACCCTGCCCCTGACTGTATATGTGTGTGAGGCATCTGTCAGCCATGGTCCAGTCGTCACCCATGCAGTAATCCCATAAAAGCTGACAATGAGGCAAACCAGCCTTGAAATCGCACACACTGGCACACAGTCTTTTGGCTCGGGCCTAGTCTGTGACATGAGAGATGAGAGGAATAACCTATTCACTCTGGTGAGTCACTCAAGCGCCTGTGGTTCACACACTGTAAGATAGGGGGAGATAGAAAGAAGATATTTATATGGACGTACCACTGTACCGGCTGTGAGCAGCTGTGTGTATGCATAGTCAGAGAGCTACATATCCTAGCTGGCACACAGTTAGCTCTGGTTTTTTTTCCTTGACTCTGTCACATGCTGCACGTGAGTAGCAGGAGTTGGGGGCGGGCATTATGCAAGGCCCTCTCTCCCTCACTCTTCTTCTTTTACATGCACACACATCCCAGAAGGTGCTGGTTATCCAGCCTGCCTCCGCTCCATCACCGAGCTTAATGGGCTGCGAGATGGCTGTTACTGGCTGGGAGGCATAGAGAGCCTGGGATGATCAACACCACCTGCTGTGCATTGCCCCTTGGAAATGAGCATTTGGATTCACGGTCTGCAGAGTGCATCTCAAACAATATCAAAGGAAAAAGATCCTGATCTCCATTTGCGATCAGAAAGTGAAAAGAACTATGATTTTCCTGTTGAATGCTGAGTTTTCTGCTGTTTGAATGTGTATCAGCAGCATTTTGAGTGCCAGATGTTGCGATATGGCCCCTATTTGAGATGATAACATCTCCTCTGTCTGATGTTAATTGCATTTTGTCGAAGTGTTATGTTTTTCTAATTCGTCAAACATTGTAATGGTTAACTTAACAAAGACACAAGCTGTCTCTATCTTTCTGGCGTATCTCGGCAGACATACTGTATTCCCTCATGTCCAAAATGGCTCTGAAATCCACAGCTATAGATGCACATACATGTCTAACATTTTCTTATTTTAATGTAAATCTGTGCCAACATTTCAACATATATAAATGATGCTGGATGTTAGTGTACAGTAGTAATAAAGGAGCTTTTGCAAGAGCAATTGGACCACAGTGCCCACATACAAATTACATGGAATTGTAAGTCGCTTTGGATAAAAGTGTCAGCTACAGTAAATGCAATGTAATGTCATTGGTAATTATATTGGCAGTATATCATCAAATATATATATTTAATGTATTTTCAAGTTCATGTTCAAAAAGTGTTTTGTTTTCCATAACAGTAGATTATTGATGTATAGATGTTATAATTTATAAATTGTAATACTATATGTCATTATGGTCATGCCAATAAAGCTATTTCAATTGAATTAAAAAAGACAGTATAAGTGTTCTTCTGCAAAGCCATTGGACCACAGGGGTGATACACATTTACGATTTACCTTGGATTTAATTACTTGTTTTTCAATTAAATATTTATCGAATTAAAATTCAAATATGTACGATGTGCAATTCATCACCCGGCCGGAGAGAGATGAAGGAGTGGGCGTGTGTGGGGGGCGCAGTCATCGTTTAAGAAACCTACCGTACAGCGCATGCGCATGGATTTGAAGAGAATACGCCATATTGAATTCCCGTAGGAAACGGCTTGCATTTTTTCCCCTGGCAGCTAGCGGTGTGTAAATGGGACAGTTTATCATTCCGGTTTAATGCTTAAATTCTCTTTTCGTTATCTGGCACAGAGCAGCGACATTTGCAAGGGACACCAGGGGAGCATATTTTAAAACGGGGCTTGTGTGTGGTAGTAACGGGGGGGGGGGTTACCAGAGAAAAAGAAGTTGAATGGATCCGAGGGTAGCTTGGATTCAGCCGGAACAGAAAGGACCTGCGAACGCCTTATGGATGCACGTCTGGGAGACCTCTCAGGGAACACGGACCCTCTCATCCGCCCAGCACCAGAATTACAACCAATGTGTGAAATACGCTGCGTTGGGGGTTTTAAAAAATGTGGCTTCTAGCAAGAGTAGCAGTAGCCATCAGAGCATCACTAGCACTGCGATTTCCTCCCTGGATTTAAGGCTGTCCAACGACAACTCCACCGCTGAACCAGAGGGGAAAACCTTGCTCCAGAAAAGGGGAATCTCGTCCACCACGTCGTTGCAGGAGTTCCGCACCCCTTCCAGCTGTGAGAGGACTATGGGTGGAAATGTAACTGGCAATATTAATAATACAAATAAAAACGTTGGGGGTGCCAATCTCCTCCTCCACGGCATGGATAATAATGTCTATCAGCACCCGGCTTTCCAGCAGCTTTGCATGAAGCGCCATCAGGTTCACCCCTCCGTACCTGAAAACCCCACACACAATCACCATCCAAGCCGGAGGAAAAGTGACAACAAAGCGAGCACTTATGGGATGAATTACTTGCTTTCAAACTGCACTAATGGCAATTATACGTGCACTTCTTGGACGCCATGGAAGACGAGGAAGTACAGCCCTGGGGTCCTGGGGTAAGTGATCACTGCTCGGGGGTTTAAAGGGGTTAAATGTACAGCATCAAGATCAAAAAGGTTTCCAGAAAATGTATATATGTGTTTAAACAATTCCAATTTGGGATCGATCAAGTATTATCTTATTTGTTATTTATTATTCCCACAGTGGGGATATTTAAAAAGTGACATAGCAGGTTAAAAAGACAAGCAATGATATTTTAAAAAAAAGCACACATTAGAATTTAATTAAATGAAGACAAATAAGTACACAACCATGGCTAAAATAAACTATTGTATCAGCAGTTTGAAATAGCTTATTGACATAAATAACATATTAGATTACATATTTGTCTTTTGGTTTAATTTGTTAAAAGTTGCTTGACAATTCTAAATACATATTTGTATAATATTATGGCTCATAAAACGCAATAAAGATATGTATTTGCTAACGCAGTTAATGCTTTGTACGACATTGCAGTTTAAACTGGAGTTGGGCTGTTAGCTTTATATAGCTTTATAGCTGACAAGCTACCGTTAGAAACGCCGACAAAAACCGGAAGTGCTCGGATGTTCTACTTGAAGTTTGAATTTAGCCGTTAAGAAATCACAAAATAACAACAAACTACTGAGAAGTGTGATTAAAAAGCAAGCGTTTTTGAGGAGTTTATAATAGTGTCTTTCAATACAACAACACTTTTTATTTAAGTGTTTTATCTAAAGGGTGATTTATTTAGAAGATTTTAACCGGATATGTTGCTCTTCAGTCGGTTTGTTAGCATGATGTGGCTAAGGTTAGCTAACGGTTATCTCTTTTGTCTCAACGTATGGTCTCAACATTATTTTAAAATTCGAAAGCTTATGCACAACAGTGTAGTCACGGCAATGAACATCTTAAGTCACAGGCTCCTCCAGCAATGCCACATAAAATAAATATAAGCCACACAACTAATTTAAAATAACTTGTAAAATAGTGCTTGAAGAGTATAAATAGAATAGTGCTAGATATGTTGCAAGACCAATGTGCAAACTAATGCATGGGAAGAGAATGATAAACATGTTAAATAAAATACCAACATCGAAATGTTGCAATTAATGTAGTAAGTAACCAGGGAAATGCAGGAGTCTACATACATACATGTTAATAGAATAACATAAACAGAATGTCAAATTAAATACTGTACAATGGAATACATTCTGCATTACATTTAGGGAAAAAGCCAATGTAAACTGGTGTTATTTTTAAAATACTACAACAAGCCTGGGTGTTAGCTAAAGGGGTTGGATAACCATCAAGTGACATGTAATGCAAGTAACATGACACATAATGGGTGAAGTACAAAGTAACATAAAATGAAATACTCAAGTACACTATTTGAGTAAATGTACTTAGTTACTTAAACGGTTAGAAATGTAAGCACAAATGTAACTAACTTTCCAGAAAGAACCGTTTAAACTTGTGTTGTTATAACATACTTCAACTAGCCTTGGTGTTAGCTAAAGGGGTTGGATAACCCTCAACTTGTGTAATGTGGGGTGAGGTAAAATGAGCAGTTCATTCATCCCAGGCAGTCTCCTATGTGCCTGTACTGTTTCTAATGTATTGCTTTATTTAGTCAAATAAATACATTAGCTTGCTTTGGGAGTATAGAAAACAACTTTCTTTAAAGGATGATCTAGTTTATTGTATATTCCAGCCTTTTCCACTCCATTTTGTCATACTTTAGTGAAGTATTATAGTACGTTTTTCAGTAAGTTAAGTTATTTAGATCTTAAACATAAAAGTTGCAGTCATATTTAACTCACTTATTCCAGGTTATTTTACATGTAGCTTTCACTTAACAACACTTAAATAACACATACTGCAGATGGAAATAAACTATGAGCTCAAATCTGGCATACATCATCTCTTTTCTGAGATTAATGTATTTGTATGCATGGTCCTTGTTCAAATACATACATAAATTAATGATCAGACAGAATAGGACCTAAAGTAAATATACTTTCGCTAAAGGAAGGGGAAATGAATGCAATGCAATACAAATGTATTGGTACATAGGTTAAGTACATTAACTCCTGGATTGTATATCTAAAGCTGTATTTAACTTTTTCCATTGTGGTATTTATAATGGATCAGTAGTATTGTTAATGTAGTAAGAGTTTTATAATTAAATTAAAGGATTGTCTTAGTTTAATGTTATAAGGGTAATTATTTTGCTCTTGTAAAAACCTTCTCCCAAAACGGATGACCAAGGAACTTCCACATGTGTTGCATGACCTTGTGATATTTGTAATGGCTGGTTGCACCCATCTGGGAATTTTCTGTACAAGGAATCGGTGTCTGTCATGAAAGCACGTTCCCTGCTTGATGCTTAGTATCCTAATAACCCTAAATCCTAAAGACACTGAACAACATTAAAGTTATTAATGATATTGTCCTGCTATTAGAGGATAACATATGTCCGACTCCTTTTCTTTGGTTGTTTGTATTTGTGCAAGTATTTTTCTGATGCAACTTTTGGCTTGTGCACTTAAAGTAGTTTCCCTCAGGGGTACACTTTGAAGTCCTACATAGAGGGATTTCCTCTTAAAATTGCACATTTAAATGAAAGTGTAGTTATGTTGTATGATATTGCAATGATCCGGGATTAGGTTAATAGAAAAACAGTTTTATGTAATTCATTCTTTATCACTGGACCCTAAAGTTAAGGAGAGGAGATGACACACTAGTTTGTAAGGGCTAGCTATAGCAGCAGTTTATTTTGACTGTGGGGGGCCCAACAACCAGCAAGCCCTCTGTCATCACTGGACTATTGGCATGGATACGCCCTGGCCTGCTGGCAGAGAGTTTCCCCAAAGAGTGGGCACATGGGCGGACTGCATTTCCTTCAGGCGCTGGTAATTGATTGTGACAGTCTCCCTGTTCTGTCTCCCTGTTCTGTATTTCACACTGACATCATGGCATGCTTTCCTAGAAAAAAATGAATGGCCCCGGGGTTGAACAGAGTTCCACTGTTCGGAGGCATTTGACTGGTTGGAAATCTTTACATTATATGCACCCCCCACAAAACAATATCAGCAACCACGGTAAGGCTTGGGACCTCCGGCATGCTAAGGCTGACATGGCCCTCATTGTTTTACCAAACCCTCTTCCATGTCCTCTGAAAACCTTAAAGGTGTTATACCTCTTTCTTGATGACACTGATGGTGAGATAAGATTGTTTGTTTCTCTCAGTCTTTACCATGACCATTTATGTTCTGCCTTATTTGTGGGTTAGTGCCTGGTTACAGTTTCTGTACTTGATGGGACACGTTTCTACATTGAAAAGATAGGCTTTGTCTCAAAATATATGCCACCTTTAGAAATACAGCTCATGGTTTCACACAGTTGTGATTCTGAAATAACATTCAGGGCAAAAATCTGTTGCTTTGCTTCCCTGTCGCTGGCATCATGCGGGTTAACCAGCACAGTGATAACAAGGGAACTTATCTTGGGCCACCTGGAAAGAGTTTTATTTTTCTTTAGAATGTTAGCCAGATATGGTGTAATAATAAAGTAAATGTGTAGCTGTTCAAGCATTTGCAATATGAAATAGTCCTGAGCAAGACTCCTTCGCATACTAGTGTATGTAGCATAGCGTAGCATTACTGTTGGGAATAACTGTTATCTTTTATCCTCCTTTCTTTCCAGACTCCACGAGGAGGTGATTGACTTCTACAACTTCATGTCTCCTCGCCCAGAGGAAGCAGCTATGAGGAAGGAGGTGGTGAACCGGATAGAGATGGTCATCAAGGAGCTGTGGCCCACTGCAAATGTAAGACACACACACACACACACACACTCGGACGGTTTATCAGGATCAATTCCCCCCCTTTCAAATGTGTTATATCTTAGAGAGCAGTCTCTTAAATCATGCAGCCCACTCTAAGGGGAGAATTATTGGCACACACACTCTAACTGTGATCTCAGATTGCTTCTAACTCTTTGTTGAGTGTGTGTTTTAACACTCTTTTAAAGTTGAGTGTCTGTTCAAGATAACACCAACGTATTCCTTGTTTCTATTCGGTTTTCAATTCTTTCAGTGCTTGCAGAAATGAATTTTAGTTAGAATTGTCGTGAGACACTTTACTCTCCTATTCCTGCTTTGTATTCTATTCAACTTAAAGGGGCAGTTGGACACTTGGGGAGATGTGCTTATTTTGCTTTGTTTCTCAGAGTGATAGGGGTAGTTTTGGAAGCAATATGTGGAGGTGATCATTGAAATACAGTATTTTTCTAATGACAATGGAGCAGGCGTAAAATCTGAATGACTTGTCAAATCCCATGTTCTCTGAGCAAGGCAGCCCAAAAAACTGACTAGGTTATCTTATTTCACAATTTATGGGCTGTCTGTCATTCCAGATACCCAAATGTATATGCAAAAGAAAGGAAAAAGTCTGTTTTTCATGATAATATATGATAATATACACTGTAATATAGTATAATATATATATATAATAAGTGATATTGCAAAGTTAACTAGTTAATGCAGAGATATTTATGCTAACTGCAATTTTCAACTGCAAAATAACAAGGACAGAGTAACAAATAATACAAGTAATTTCATCAAATGTAATTATAAGTCAGTTTGTCTCACGTTGCATGTTCAGACTCAGAGTTGGTGATGGAGGGTCCTGCAGTAGTTTGTGTAGTGCAGAGACGTAGTGTTAACGTAATGCCCCCTTCATTACCTCATCATGTGAAACATGCGCAGTGCTGATTGGTTGGCTGCCAGTCGTCCCCTCTTCCTCTGTGAGCCTGACTGTCAGGTAAATGGATCAAGACCCTGATTTGTACCAGCCTCCCTTTTCATCTCAGCCTATTAATCCTGGCCTGACTTTGTGCCATTGCCTTGTCGTATTTACCAGATGGAAAGGGAAAGAACTCTGCTTCCTTTTTGGAGAGCTTTCGCAGGCAGCCTCCACGCACTGCATTTTTTCCCTAGCTGTTGTTTACTTAATTTGGTAGTTTTCTTCACTTGTTAGCGTTTACCGTCTCTAAAGTGGAATGTGGAAATACCTAGTTCCTGATAGTTTGAGATGGATTAAATCATCTCGACAAATGAGCTATTGCACGATACAGTATCTGTACTTTCAAAATGAAGCCAAACTCATTATATTTAGAATGTGATAAGAAGGGCTATGAAATGCCAGTGCGTTTTTATTTGTATTTCTCTCTTTTCTTCAACTACTCCTCAGTTTGGTAATTGTTTTGTAATATTTCTTCAACATTGTTTTTTCCAGGTCCAAATATTTGGCAGCTTCAGCACAGGGCTGTACCTTCCAACCAGGTAAGACCCTCATGATATGTTATTTAAAAAACATAGAATGTTTTATACCTGATGTGTTCAGTAATTTAACATTCGGACTGGTTTTGCCCTCAGTGACATTGACCTGGTGGTGTTTGGGAAGTGGGATCGACCCCCGCTGCAAGACCTGGAACAAGCCCTTCGCAAACATAATGTGGCAGAACCTTTCTCCATTAAAGTGCTGGACAAAGCTACGGTGAGTAACCAGAGCACTTTACTGTCTTCATATTGAGTCCCTAAATAAAACCGCACTTGTTTGCCACATCAGATATCCATCAAACACTAGCGTATTTGATAAAATATCCCATTTTCAGTGATGCAGTGATTCATTGATCTGGCACATATCTTGGTTTTATTCTTCCAAGTGAATAATAGAATGTTACAGTCACACTAAATGCGGGACCAGTTGTAACAAACCCAGCCAAAGCTTAATTTGGCAGAAGTTATTACATCCCTAGAAAAGTTCCTCTGGACTTCAAACGGTCCGTTGGGTATCTAAAGCTTTGGCTCAATTACTATTTTATGTCTATGGAAAAATTGACATTAATTAGAGTCTTCCTTCTGTTTGCGTGATAAGTGGCACTCGGCCAGTGGAGTGGTCATTTCCCCTGCTCAAATGTAAATACACAGTTCACAGGGTTTGTACAACATTATAGATGTTAACCGTCATGGTTTTAACATACAGAAAATGCTTGGATTTGATTATATTCCTTGACAAATGCTAGATTTCTAACATAGTATGGTGTTCCATCTACACAATCACTCATGTAAACCTAAAATATTTCAAATGAAACGGCCCTGTTCGTCATTTGTTTGTTGTGTCCCGGTGTCTCCATATCTGACTACAGCTAGCTAAGCATTAAATAATCATGATCAAAACTTTCAATAATAAATACATTTGGGTCAACAGCTGATGAATACACAAAGTGACATGAGAAGACACAAGTTCTGTTAAAAAGCTTTCAAAGCCACACTCAAGATGTGATGATAATGGCTTTAAGACTTTGACACCTTTTTAAGGTCAACATAGCTTGAAAAGTTAGATTTTAAAAACTGTACACCATAATATTACAATAGCGCCGGATATTAGTTCAACACACAATGCTCCACTGTTAACTGCCTGTTATTTGAAGGTTTTTTTTTTCTATTTAAAGTTAAACCCAAGTATTTCTGCTAAAAATGCACATAATATGTCCCGTATATTGTGGACACTCACTCAACCCCCCAATGTATGGTAGCTCTGTTACATGCACCATCATCATGTGGTGTGTGCACACAAACAAGCTAACCACAGCTTGCTTCAGTGCTGTCTGTACTGACATGATAATAAGTAGCTAATGGATGAATTTTACCTTTTTGGATTAGTATTTGCGTCCTCAAGGCTGTCTGTTGGAACATGTTTCCTTTTTTGCCTCATCACACAGAGACTGTTGCTAATGCATGTCACCCTTTCTGCCTTCAGGTGCCAATCATCAAGCTGACAGACCAGGAGACGGAGGTGAAGGTGGACATCAGCTTCAATGTGGAGACTGGTGTCAAGGCGGCGAGCTTCATTAAAGGTTATGTTAAGGTGAGAAATACATTTATCGCCTGTCAGGATGTGCAGCTCACAGGTGCATATGTTATCGTAGTGATATTTAATTTAATAATCAAGAATCAGAAACGGGTTTATCGCCAGGTAGGTTCACACGTACGAGGAATTTGACTTGATGTCATGGTGCATATATAAAAATAAAAAAGGTACACAGTTAGCAAACTATATTAAATAAATTATATTAATCAAATCAGACCAGAAGGCATCAAATGACGCACAGAAATCCATTGCATTTTTAAACCAGATAGGGAATTGAAGTCTTCATTGACTACAGGAAATCCACAATACAAGCAACAAATAGATATGTAAGAAGAGAACAGAAAAAGGTCATGTAGACATATTTAAATAAAGACCACCTGACGAGTCACATAATTACTATTTTTACAGCGGCGTCTAAATACAGAACTGTAGAAGTTCCCTGTGTATCAGAGAGCACTTTAAAGCATTACACTTCAATCTCGCGTTGGCACATCTCATTTCCAAAGTGAAGCTGGAGCGGACCCCAGCAACCGTGCTCAGAATAATCTCCACTTAACTCAGTACTGTTTTGCTGCTGAAAAACCTCGCTGCCAAATCAACTCGGTGGAGGTGAATTCCTCCCCATGGCTCTGACTAAATTCCTGCTGAAGGTGGATCTCTGCTCACTTCAGTCACGGTTATAGTAGCTAATGCACGAGAGGAATTCCAGGAGCTGACGTTTCAGCCAGCTGTCAGCGTTTGGCTCTTCTCCCCCTTTGTTGTTGTTGTTTCTTTATGTATTATGCTCCTCTGGGAGTGCATGTCTGAGCTGGAAAGCCTCCTGTTGACATCCACTCTCAGCTTCAACCCACTGAAAGTTGATGTTGCTAATGCATGGGTGTGACTGACTTGTCATTGAGAGGTCAGCTCAGAGCTAATCCTCACATGTCAGATTCCCACGCAGCCAGTTGGAGTCCATCTCCCAGCATCACTTCTCTAAAAGCATATTTGAAAAGTCAACCAAGCCCCGCTGCTCCACTGGCACAGATACACACACACACACACACAAAACAGACACACACACACATACTGCCAGAAGGTCATGCTCACTTTTCAATTGGAAAAGGAGAATTTTTGTATTTCCCATTCCCAGGCCCTCAAGGGGGTTCAGCACGTTATTAAGTCAGAGGCTCTAGGAAGCCCCATTTAACACATTACTTTAGTACGTTTGATCCTGTTGGAGGCTAGAAAGAGTAATTAATTGATGGTGGAGTGGAGCAATTTACACATCACAACCAAATTGGTTAGTCAGCTGTACTTTAAAAACAAGAGTGAGATCATTGTGGTTTCAGCAGAAACTGTGGTTTCAGCAGGGGTTTTCACTGGTTTGGCAGGATTAAAGCTTACTAAAAGAAAATCAAATAGGGATGACACATTACATTATACGTATTATTATTATTAGTCACAGTTATTGCAAAAACATGACTATTGTATGTATAGAGCTACCTTAGGCAACACAGCATTTCCACTCTTCAGGCTGCAGGTAGTGCTGGTATATCAATTAGTACCGTCCAGTATTGGAACTTAGTACTCAGAACCTTAACTTGAGTACAAGTAAAAATACTCAACTACAAGTAAAAGTACAAATCTATAAGCATCAAAATATACTAGAACTACAAAGTAAAAGTACTCATTCTGCAAATGCTAAATATTCCCACCCCTGGTGCTAAGTAAAGCATATTGTAATTATTTTTACAATAATGTGAATTACTTGCTGTTCAATTTGAATATAGTCTTGTCCAGGGGCAGATCTACGGGGGGGCAAGGGGGGGGCAGCCCTAAAACTGTAGAAACAAGTATGCACTATGTCCACAAGCAACGAAACAAGCATTACATTAATTCAAAGTGAATCATTTAAAATATCATCTTAGGCCCGTTAAAAACGGAGCTACGGCCCTGCATTAAACTGACCGCAGCTCACACAGATGCAGAGATACCGAGCTGTCCCAGCACCTACCTGAAGGCGGATCAGCTTCCCCTCGAGCATTTCCCCTTCCACTAGTTTTTTTTATATACTAAAGACGAGAGCTTGAAACAAAATATTAATAAAACGCTGCTTTTTGAATCGATAGCGTTTAACAGACGGTTGCTGTTTGGGGCGTTACGATACAAAATACCACACAGACCGAGATCGATCACTTTTATTTGCTAAACTATGCGGTACTATTAAATCCACGTAAATTACACATCACAGCCATGAGGCCAGATAAATTAAACCAGGATACATCCTTTACCGTCAAACTGGGTCTAAACACGGCTGCCTGTGTGCGTTTGATAAATACTTTCTGATTTTATATTGATTATAGGCTATGCTACTTATTAGCTACATGGCCCTAACGTGTAAAGTTATACAAGCATTTGTACCAGTGCTTTTCCCAAGAAGACTCTTGCAGGCCAGAGTAGCTGGAGTGAGTCAACAACAACAAAAAGACATATCTGAGAAGTGATCAGGACGAACAGAAAGAGGAAAAGGAAAAGAGAGTTCACTGAAGAGGCCAGGAGGGTCAGAGCAGGAGGATGCCAGGAGGAGATGAAGAGACCAGGAGGGTCAGAGCAGGAGGAAGCCAGGAGGAGATGAAGACATTAGTGAAGAAGAAGAAATGTATGTGAGGAATAAAGAGGAAGTGTCAGAAAGAGGGACAGAGGCAGTGATCAGGAGGCAGATGAGACTCCAGCTGAACCACATGGTATGTTTGTATTCTCCTTGCATAAATATTCCATCACAGCAGCACAATCTAGCAGCACTTAGTATTGACACATATTTATTGAAATGTGTCACCTTTAGCTCTCTTAAGAGATGGGTGATGTCATTTGTGTACTTAATTATAACCAAGTACTTTGACTGTACTTACAGTAAACAGAATTCTAGGGTATCATGAGTATTGTCTGCTGTTTTACACTATTGTCTGAACACCTTGTTTCTCTTGTGCATTAAGAACACGTGTGTTAGGGCATGATTTAACCACGTACTGTCCGCCACCCTGGCATGACCTCTTGCCCCCCCTCTGCCACCCCATGTAAAATGTTCTAGAACCGCCACTGGTCTTGTCCTATCTCAAGCTCATTTAATTCTTCACAACTCACTAGACACCCCCACTCTTCCTTATTGACTATAAATGGAACCGGGGTCAAACAGACATCCTCTCTTTCGTTACCTAATCCAGAGGTTGACAGATAAAGCGTTCTCATACCTAAATCTTCTTCCTCCCTCAGATGTATCCGGTGCTGCCTTACCTGATCTTTGTCCTGAAGCAGTTTCTGCTGCAGAGGGATCTTAACGAAGTCTTCACCGGGGGAATCAGCTCCTACAGCCTCATCCTCATGGTCATCAGCTTTCTACAGGTACAGGACGATGCAGACACCTCCCTGAAAAATACATGTGATGTAAAAGAAGTAGCCCAGTGCAGGATGTGCTAGCTAATGAAAGTAGCATTCATAGGAGAATTTGTAGTAGCACTTAGCTTCAGACATATCCAGTGTTGACAGATATCAATAGTAATCATTACTAATGCATAGTAATTTTTTTTTTTTAATCCATACTAATCAGTTCTCCCATTGCTCTTTCTTTCAGCTCCATCCACGTATCGACGCCAGGAACCCCAACGAGAATTTGGGCGTGTTGCTGATTGAGTTCTTTGAGTTGTACGGCCGCCATTTCAACTACTTGAAAACAGGGATTCGTATCAAAAATAGGGGCGGGTACTTGGCCAAAGAGGAGATCATGAAGTCCATGACAAATGGATACAGACCATCCATGCTCTGCATAGAGGACCCGCTGCTCCCAGGTGTGTGTGTGTCGATTACTGGTAACAAATGGTACTGACATATCTATCTTTCACCTGAAATACAAAAGTTACCAAGGGTATTGATTACCTTTTATTAATAGCTGCATTGTAACAAAACTGATTAAAATCACTTTACTCGTGAAAAAGGACAAAGAAGAAGAATAAGCTAAATGTTTATCCTTATTGCAACCAAAGTGTTAAAACTGTGTCACTCAGTGCCATGTCATTTTTTAAATTTGATTTAAAGAGGAGGCATGATCAACAGATAGACTTTATAGACCTACTAGAGATTCAGTGTACTTGTAGAAATGTGCCCTTTTCACCAGCCACCTCCGAATGTACTGAGGAATACTTGACCTATATGAGCACACATGTTCATATCATTTTATACAATGTATCAGGATTTGAAAATTCCTCATTTTGGGGACATCTGGTGGTAGTTTAAAAAAATAAAGATAGCACACAGAGTAATAAAAGAAACACATAGACAGCACCTGGATGTTAGAGATTTGTACATAAACAACCCTATGCCATTACATCATTTGAAAGATGCTAACCTTTTTAACAAATCTGCATAATGGCTTTAATGTCAATGGTTCACACAGTTTGGCAAATGTTTGAAGTTGATCCCTGAGTTCAATACAGCACTACATAAACCAAACTAATGATTTTGAGTGAGTCTAACAGCAAGCGTGGAGTTAAGAATAACTAAATTAAAGCTTGAGTGGCACACAGCTTACTTAGCCATCTTTCCCCATAAATATTAACTATTGTGTTGTTGTCTATGTCTTTGCTCCATGCAGGTAATGATGTGGGGAGGGGCTCCTATGGTGCCATGCACGTCAAGCAGGTGTTCGACTACGCCTACATCGTCCTGAGTCACGCCGTGTCCCCGCTCGCTCGCTCGTACCCCAACACAGACTCTGAAAGGTTTCTACTCAATCCATTCAACAGTTTAAAAAAAAGATACCCTGGATAAAAGTTGTGCTCTTTTTTTAAAACCCATCTGTTTCTCCGTCCTGCAGCACCATGGGGAGGATCATCAGGTTGACCCAGGAAGTGATCGACTACAGGGAATGGATCATTAAGAAGTGGGGGGGGCAGGGATCTGGTGCGAACAGACAACAGAGGTACGATCCCTCAGACTTTAATATGACATTTTATAACGATGAGGGAAGAGTGCTGTACGTCATTAAGACTGTAGGGGGAGTACAGAGTAAATAATGTTATGCCTATAAATGTTTTTTTGTTAAAATCTAATCTTTTTATTGAGTTTTAAGAAGAAATGTATTTTAAAAAAGTTCATACATTTGACCCAAAAACGTTTTATGTATAATTCGTTAAATGTCTTATTTGTTGTTTGCAGTTTCCCCTCCCAAGGAGCCAGAGCTCAGTGGGGGGGTCGGGCTGGAGGAGCAGCAGAGGGACTCGGGGTCTCCCCACAGCGCAGACTCCCCCATGTCCATCTCCAGCCCCCAGCAGCACTCCTCGGCCTCCTCCGTCTCCTCACTATCGGGATCAGACAACGTAAGAAAGCACAAACACACAAACTGTAGAAGCACTCAAATGATAGTCACTGTCATGTTTTGGGAGTATTTCCATCTTTGCATTGACTTTCTGTGCTCCTTCTGAAAAATGTGCTACACACTTGGTCTTAACACACCTTACGATACAATATTTGTCATTTAAAATAAATCCCGTATATATATAATGATGTCTACAGACAACACTGGTGGTGGTATGAAACATCAAAGACTAACCGTTGCCTAACCAGTTTTACCTCTATGATATACACAACTACAATTTGATGTGATGAACTTGACATCCATCATAATGTATAAACACTGCCACCCACCTGATGAAGCTACATGCAGCTTAACATTTTTCATACTCTCCAACCTATCAATCAGAAGCACGTCCCGTTGGATCTAATTACACTGTGGTATTTAAACGGAGACGTGCAGAAGTGACATACTCATTATCTCTTCTTTTTGGTGTCGTTTGAAAGGACTCGGACTCAGCGCTGCCGTGTCCCGTCCCTCCGCCCACCATGCCACCTTTCCCCTCTTTCCCGCCTATGGGGCTAGCTCTGCCCCCGTGCCTCAACATGAAGCACGGCATGGGGGGGCACCACCTCCTCCTGCATCCAGGCTCACAGGTAGGCATGCTGGGTATGCTACAGCCACCAGGGGTGACACACCAAAAGCAGTGAATCCATTTTGGTTACTTCAGTGAGATGAACCCAAAATGAACATATGTTGCTGTGATTTAATAGCAATGAATGTGTCCAAAATATCTTCTCAATGATATAGATTAGAATATAAAAAGTATTGTTTTGTCAAGTCTATCCAAAGTGGGAAAGCAAAACGTTTTGAAATAATTTGTTTCTGAATGGAGATAAGAGTTATCATGCTAGGCTAAGCTCCCATCGTAGCTTCTCCATCAACCCTAAATATGTAGTCATAGCTAAAGCCAGAAATGAGATTGAATCAAGAATAGCTAGCCATGCTAAGCTAAGGTCCCTTAATGCTTGAAGGTCTTTGAATTTGAACGGGAATTAAAGTTTCTGAACAAAAACATGATTAGACTTATATCAGTAAAAGTTATTGATATCTGCACATTTTATATAAGAATGGGAATATTTTGTTTTTAACCTTAAGGATGTTATTACCTTGATTAGTGCCTCAATTTTGCCTGGTTAGGTCTTTGAATTTGAAGGAATTGTGCATTGAAAGTACTTTAATTTGATGTTTAACATGGTCTAGAAACCCTGCTAGATGTTGTTGCTCCCCCCCGTAACGAATCATTTCCCCCTCCGTCCCCCAGGCTCGCGTCCAGCTGCCCGGTGGTCTAGCAATGCACTCCATACCTGGCAGACAGGTGTGTATAGACACCGGACTCCCCCCCTTCTTCCACATGCACCCCCACGCCCACGCTCATGCCCCCGCCCCCTCCTGCCCCCTGCCTCTGTCCAGCCACACACACAAGGTAGGAGCCGGATGCCACACACACACTCAAACGCACCATCAAGGCAAACTTTGTCTCACACACACAAACGCACCATCAAGGCAAACTTTGTCTCACACACACACACACACACACACACACACACTCAAATGCACCATCAAGGCAAACTTTGTCTCACACACACACACACACACACACACACACACACACTCAAACGCACCATCAAGGCAAACTTTGTCTCACACACACACACAAACGCACCATCAAGGCAAACTTTGTCTCACACACACACACACACACACACACACACACACCTACACCTACACACACACTCAAACGCACCATCAAGGCAAACTTTGTCTCTCACACACACACACACACACACACACCTACACACACACTCAAACGCACCATCAAGGCAAACTTTGTCTCACACACACACACACACACACACACCTACACCTACACACACACTCAAACGCACCATCAAGGCAAACTTTGTCTCTCACACACACACACACACACACACACACACACACCTACACACACACTCAAATGCACCATCAAGGCAAACTTTGTCTCATACACACACACACTCAAAAATAGGGACATGATTGATTAGAGCTTCATTTGGTTTAGTCCTTACAGCTTGCTGGCTTATTAAAGTATGACTAATATTAAATAATAACGTTTTATTCAAGAAAAACATACTAGGTCTAGAAGTGAATATTTTTTTTTAAATGTAATTTCTTGGCCTGTGCAACATCAGTAAATATGTTAGATGTATTTATTAATTGTCTCTCTTCTCTAATCTCCCCCCCACTTTCCCCTTTCCTCAGAATGGCATCAAGTTCAACGTGAAGGGCTTCCACAACCCTCCGCTGGTCAGCAACCCCGTGCTGGTGAACCGCGGACACACACACACTCACTCTCACACACAGTATCACCGCAACACGTGGCGGCGCAGGAAGAGGGAGAGCCTCCCGGTTAGCCTCAGCAGATAGAAACCACTCCTCCCCCCCCCCCCACCCCCCCCCCCCCCTTCTGCTCCCTTTTCTCTGGATGCAAACCCCCCCGTCGGTCTCTGAGGAGGACGGACCGAGGACCAGCAGTTTCACACCCCGGGCTGCTGCCACACAGAACGACAGCCCTCAGCATCTTCTTCCTAAAATCTCTACCTTTCCATTTCTGCATGACTTCTTATAGGTTTTCAGTATTATGGTCCTTTCAGTATTTCTTCCTCATCTTGGTTTCAGGTCTCTCACTGTTATTGTTTTGTTAATTCTTGACTGACTTGGTGGTGACGCCGTTGCCAAGTTCACCTGACCTCATCTGCAGCCAAGCTGCCTCTGGTTCTTTTTTTATATTTTTTTTTACAGTTTATACTCTTAAGAACAAACGTTTCATTTGTGCAATAATGTTATTTTTCTTCCGGGAACTAAAGTAAATGCTTATTTAATTTTGTGTGTTTATATGTAAAGGCATTTTTATACAGTTGTATTATTTTTGTAGAGTTTTAAATTTTTGTTTACGAATCCTTTCCTGGGGCAGCCTTTCTGGAGTGTGTGTACCATAGTTGTTTATGTGAGTGTGTGCGCTGTGTTTGATCAGGTTGAGATGGACCCCCGTTCAGACCCCCTCCTCCTTCTCTTCTCTCTGTTTAAAGGGATAGGGAGCTTTTTCCTTTATATTCCTTCCGCTTTCCTTCGTCCGTCTTGTGGGAAAGGGGCGAGGTTAACAAGGAATTCCTCCTGGAAGTTTTGTTCCTCAGCCCAGTTGGTCTAAGGCATCCTGGAGGGAAGTAGGGTGATGGGAAATTGCAACATGGGAAATCCTGAAAAACAAGAGGAGAGGGTGTAATTCTGATTTGGTCTATAAGAGCAGATTTAGCAGTGCCACCTTGAGATTGTGTGTTTTTTGTATCTCTCCGTAAGTGTGGATCGGTTGGCCATTTCTCTCAGAGGGGATTTTTAAGGGAACGTTTCCATACATTGGAGAATTTCGGCCTGTTAAACTTATGTCCTCTTTTTTTGCTGGTCTCTTTTTATGACATGTTGTAAGAGGGTTGCGACCAAGAAAGCAACAGCGTATCTGATTTAAGATTAGCGAAAGAGGGTCACAGAGAAATCCTTGTAGTCTCTCTGGTCGAGGGACCTATTTGTTGGAAAACTGATCCCAGCGCTGAGGCCAGCCCTTGTCCGCAGCTGTAAAAGAGTGCAGACCAACACTAAGATGCTCACGATAAGATTTCCCCTCTATGCTCCCAGACAAAGGAGATGGAGGAGAGGAGGAGGGGGGTCATCCTGAACCTATGACCCCAGTGAAAGGGAATTATATTTTTATTCCGTTCAGGAATCTTGTGTATATTTTGATTGCCAGGTACTTCCGCTAATTGTTTGCAATGCCTTTCTTTGTGTTTACTTGGAGTGTGTGTTCGTCGTTTCCTGTGAGACACACACTGTCGAAGGCTGTGACTCGCCCCGAACACGACACACACGCTGGTGTTATTACTATGCAAGTGGATTATTCAGATTATTGTGTCAACTCTTGTCTCTCCCTTTGGGTCTTTTTTTCCTCCACATGACAAACACTGCTTGTTGGACTGATGTTACTGACTGTCAAGACTCGTAAGCCATCTCATGTGAAACCCCCCCCCCCGCCCCATCGTTGTGTTTGTATGAAGGCCCCAAAACGTTTCAAAGTCTAGTTTTCTACATCAGTGAAATGTAAGGAATGGAGGATGTTAATGTCTGGGTCTGTGTAGTGCGTGACAAAGTGAAATGTGTGTGAGAAAGTATCGAGACTCATGACTTGACACCAAGTTTTTTTTATTTTTAATAAATTAGACGGTTCATGAGCAGGTGCACCCAGAGAGCGACTGGCCCTCTGCAGGTGCACTTCAGAAAGTGTCCAAAAACTATTCTACAGTGCTGTTAAAATATTTACGTTTACCTTTTCTCTTTTAAAACCATGGCAACTCTGTCCGTCAGTCAAAACTGCTCCTGGCATCATTTCTCAAATGAAGGCTTTCTGATTTGACCGCAGATGATGAGCTAATCATCACCTCTACCTTAAGAAACCCCATTTTCATTCAATTATTTGACAAAAAAACAGCTTCCATCGTCGCTTTGGTGCATGAAACTCTCAGTTACATGAAATCCTAGCCCTTAAATAAATTGGATAAGAACCAGGATGTAGTTTCAAACTGCAGCCATGTTAGCTTTTAGAGATTAGAATAAGCATTGATTAAGAGGCTGGCAATAAAATTGGTAAAAGACGGTTGTTGACAGATTAGCATCTCCACAGCAAAGACTTGACATGCAGTATCCGAAGAAGTCTGTACGGATTAAAATCTCAGCGGTTTAGCTTGTGCTCTGATTCTCCAGATAAGTGTTAACGCCGGGTAATGGAAGCATCAGAGAGACAGCCGGGGCCGTTGAGATTTTAGCGTGCACACGTACACGTAGATGCAGTGATATACAACCCCTCGTTGCAACACAATGAGGGATTTTAAACTGGCGGCTGCTGTTTAGAGAGAGCGGCAGCCCCTCTTTGTCCTGGCTGATTCCTGTGAGCAGTGGCCCTCTGAATGCACACTAAGCTACCGGTGGACAGAGGGACCCACTGCCCAGCTCGTGGTTGGGTTTTTTTTTGGTTGGTATTTTGACATTTGTATGTAAATATATTTTTTTCTATTTTATTTTTTAATAAACATTTTAAAACTGCCAGTCAGTGGGTGTTTTTTTTAATTGACAGTGAAAAATAAGGGTGCTCAGAGCTACATTAAAGGTCCCATGTCATGGTTATTTCTACTGATCATAATTCCATTGTTGAGGTCTACTCAAATAGATTTATATTGTGCAATTTTCCAAACTCACATTGGTTTTCTCTTTTTGTTGGATAATCTATGGTAGGGCTAACCCCTATGGTGGGGCTCAAGTCAGTATTTGCAATTGCTAAGGGGGCTGCCCCCATCAGCGAGGCTCCACCAGCCACCCCCCCCCCCCCCTGTGTGTGTGTGTCTCCACGGACCAATGGGTCCATTTGGGTTTGGTCATGTCACTATATCCAGGAAGAAAAAAAATGGAAAAAGAAAAATGTCCAACGAGGCGTTCTGGGGCAGCAGACAGGTATTTTCTGTGTTCGAGTTTTACTCGCTACAGGGTGTACTTTGAGGGTTTGTGACTCTGCAGACCGTTTACATGCAGAAAAAACTTCATAACACACAAGGGACGGGTAATAACCGGAAAAGCATGACATGGGACCTTTAATACATTTCGTGTAACTCTAAACTCATAAATGACCCATTGTTATTCTACATAGTTTTCATAATGTATGCAAACTGTTTATATACCCTTTCAGATGAAGTCGTTTTACTGGCCAACGGGTGAATGTAAGTCTAATAATCCCTTATCCTATGTGTCGGTCTCCACAAGTCCTAAAAGTAATATTCAGCTTTTAAAGGAAAAGTTTTTTTAGTAGTATGCGGTACTTATCCATAGTCTGTATATCACATTCTGTACGCTGTTATCTATGCTCGCCTTAAATACACCAGACTCCATTGAGAAAAACACCAATTGTACTTTGCAGAACACACACGTTTTTTGTCTGCTGTTGTCGTTTGTTTGTAATATTGTGGGACTTTGCTGAATTCGAACCATTTACAACAGTGGATCCCAACATGAGGGTCTCTACCCCCACTAGGGGTCGCAAGAGCTTTTTGACTAAAAGTGTTTTAGGTAGAAAAGTTATTAGATCAATAGAAGAAGTGCCAGGGAGAACAAAAACACAGCATTTTTCAAAAGAAAGAAAACATATCTAAGACTAGTTTGAAATTCAACAACAAAAAAGCGAAATACAAAGAGATTATTAAAAGTTCCCCCTGCAATATTCACAGCAAATATTCTGCTCAAAATTCTTCTAAATTGCTCGTTTTTACGAGTGTTGCTTTCACTTTTTAGGTTTTCACACAGACTTGTTTGTCACTGTCATTGAATATATTACCAGGAAATATCCATTAAATGTCACTAAAACAGGGGTCATCAGTTAACTCGTTGATACAAAAGAGGTAGTTAGAAGGAAACACATGTGAACCATTGCTTTAAAACACAAAATATGACACAGACGCATGTAACTATTGAAGGCAGCCTTAAACCACCATCTCCTGTGTTCTACACGGTAAAATTACTGTTTTGTCGATGGAGTCTGGTTGCTTTGAAGCCTATATTCAGTGTTTCAGTTCCTCGTTGGAGAAGGCTGGCGATAGCACATTAAAGCAGTTGAAACCATTCCAAATATAGTGCAGAATTACACTGGTACTGAGGATTTTAAGTTAGATGACATTTTGGTGCAACCCATGTAAACAACACAACATGGCGTGGATTTCCTTTATGTGCGCCTATCTGTTTCTTCAAACTGGTGGCATGCCAATACACCAACACCTCATACAACCCCACAACAAAACAATCCAAACTATTCCTTTAAAAGCTGCTAATTCTCAGAAGACTCTAGTATCTGTCTCTAATTACCCTCACACGGTTCATGGATCTTCTAAATCCTATACTGAGTGTCTGAGGCTCTTATTTCTTCATTAACATGGGCTTCTTCTCCTCAACACTGGGTGGTGCACATGTACTTCTGTTGGTGCTGGATTAGGAGGAACATAAAATGACTGAGTTGCTTAACCGTCTGTCCTCTGTACGTTTAAACCCCTAAACCAAATATAGAGGTGTTAAGCTTTACAGTGGATATACAGTGGCTGTCAGGTGTGTGTATGTTTGGTTCAGGATTACATGTACTGTCTGCCACCTGTCTCCAGCTCTGAAGCACCTGACGCACTCCACTGGTGTGACCTCCTGAACAGTAATAGAGGTGAACTTCAGAGGATTAGACCTAACGCCTCGGGTGAAGCTAAAAAGGGGCCCAAAAAGTGAGTAATTTTCCATTTGAAACCAGCTACCTGCTCAAAGGTGAGACATTTGGATTAGTGTTCTGGGTGCTCTCAGGGTGACACGTATTAAAGTTCAAACCAGAGACAAGTCAGAGCCTGTCTTTGTATTTGCAGGCAAACTGAACCTGTTTCCTCAGCTTGGATAAGGGCTGTGTTTCATAAAGAATCAGAAATAGAAATAGTAATTTAAAGAAATCATATGTCAAATATATATATTTTAGAAATGCACTTAACTACTGTATATTGACAATTATCAGCAATCGCAAAATTAAACAAGTTAACACTTCTCAATGTCAATGAATTAGTCTCTTGTGAATCAGTGATTTTCTTCATCCATACTCTGGTTTGATTGTTGTTTGAAGAAGAAGAGCAGAGTACAGACAGATGAGGCTCCTGTCTGACCATCTGCTCATAATGGACTTAGTACCCTAATGATTCCCATATTTACAGTTTGCATATGAGCTGTGAGAGCTGTTATAATCCATATTTCTATAGTAACGAAGGATTAAATAACATTGTGTCATGTTTGAACAAGCCGGGGAGATATCACACAGTTCTGCAGCTCAACCCCACCTTTACTGTTTTCATTCACTCTCTCGTTCTGTTTGCAGCTTTTACAAAATTATTGCTAAAATACCTGCCCCGCACCAAACAGTAGACACACTAAATCAAATCAAATCAGGTTTTATTTATATAGCACATTTAAAAGCGATTTTTGGTCTAGCCAAAGTGCTGTACATGTAATAAAAACACATTACTACAATCACAATAAAAGACAATCATTTACAAAAGAAATGTAAAAAACAATAACACAGGCAATAGTCAGGTGTCATGCTCCGCTCTGACTAGAAGGCCAGGGAGAAGAAGTGTGCTTTTAGTGTGGATTTAAAAAAAACCCTAGTGTCTGGGCCGACCTCACATGAAGGGGCAGACTGTTCCAGAGCCTGGGGCCAGCTGCTGCGAAGGATTGGTGTCCTCGGGTTTTGAGCCTGGTCTTGGGCACTACCAGCGCTACCAGGGGTGTAGCGATGGAGGAGTTCGGCTACATAGGCCGGAGCCAGCCCATTTAGGGCTTTGAAAACAAATTAAAGGATTTTAAAATCAATTCAGAACCGAATTGGAAGCCAGTGCAGTGAGGCCAGAATTGGGGTGATGTGGTCACGCTTTTTGTAGCCAGTCAGAAGACGTGCAGCTGCGTTTTGGACTAGCTGCAGGCGTTTAATTGAGGCCTGGTCCATACCCACAGAGCGTTGCAATAGTCCAGTCTCGAGGTAACAAAGGCATTAATAACCCTTTCTAGGTCTTTAAAAGATAAAAACGACTTGGTCTTGGCCAATAGTCTTATTTGAAAAAAGCAGGATTTGACTACGGTGCTGACCTGTTTGTCGAATTTAAAAGTGCTATCGAAGGTCACTCCAAGGCACTAAGAAACTGATTGGGTCACATAATTAAGAATTTAGCATCAAAAAGACAGATTTTTCTTTAAAACTGAACAAAAAGTTAATCTTATACAGGCCCTCTTCTGCTTTTGTTTAGTTTTCTCCTGTAGTGTGTTATATAGCTTTATGTGCATGTTAATGGTCTGCAAAGGCTAAAATCCCAAATGACCCTCCAGTGGGAGTTTCTCTCCTACACACCCGCCTCCATTGGACTACTTTGTTTACTTTTGTAACATAATGACATCACTATGTAACACTTCAACACATTGTACGTGATAGGCTAAGGGATGGGACATCTCTAAGTGATTGACAGAGCCAGCTAACCAATCAGAGCAGACTGGGCTCTGGTTTCAGACAGTGGGTGAAAAGAGGTGCTGCAGCACAGGCAGTATGAGAACAATAAAGAGCTTTTGAACATTAAAGCATGGAGACATGTCACATAAGAGGCACAACACACAAATATGAACCTGAAAATTAGCATAATAGGGCCCCTTTAAAACTGAATAAATGTCAGTGATATGTTTCCAAGTTGTTTCTGCTGGCCAAGAATATCTGCATATTAACAATCGAATGAATCTTCCTTCCTAGGTTGTTTCATTTTATAATTTGTACACGGCTGACAGTTATAAAAAAGGGATTAGAGGAGATAAATCCCTCTTTACTTTACTGAATTATCATACACACTTCACATTAATCCTGCTGGTAATTTATTGATGCTGTGGAGCTCCGGGGAGTCTTAACTCGACAATCATCCATTTCTCAAGATTTTGAGCCAAACAGAATTTTGAGCCAGCCTTGTTAGGATACCCTGAACAATAGCAATCAAAGGCAATTAAAAGCCTCATTAGTTTGGCATTTTGTGAATACAAATTGTCAATACTTTGTGTTTCTTCCAAATAAGGCGTTTTTGTCAATTGATCAAATGCAAAACAGGCTTTGAGTATAGAGCACGGTGCGGTAGGAAATCACTAGGTTTGATTGAGAAAATCATTGCTCTTCGTACTTAATGGATCCCACAGTGTTCGTCCTAATGAGGAATCAGGAGTTCTCAGTGTGGGAGGTATCTCTCGGTGTCTCTCTCTGCTTCCCACCTTCCTATCTTGATTGCTACGTATCTAGGTCATCTCAGTGTGTTTTAATCACCTTTGGGGTTGGAATAGACTCAGTAAGGCGATGAATTTCCTGTTTTCTCTCGTCAATGTGGGGAATCAGCGAAATGTTTAGCACACCGTCAGTCCCCTTGTGATTGTCGTTTGCAGCTGCATTGGAGTTCAAATCCATTTTGAGCAATAATTCAATATTGCCAACACAAATCATCTCTAGCCATCAAAATCTCCAA